AATTGGGTTTAATCAGTTCTTTCTTTGCTCTAGGTGCCTGCCTTTCGCCTTTTTGAATAGTATTTACTAATTTTTTAAACTCTATGATAGGCAGGCACATAGAGCAAAGAAAGAAATGATTGAAGCTAATTTACGGCTAGTAATTTCAATTGCAAAAAAATATGCCAATAGAGGTCTCCAATTTCTAGACCTAATTCAAGAAGGAAATATTGGATTAATGAAAGCTGTAGATAAATTTGAATATCGAAGAGGTTATAAATTTTCTACTTACGCTACTTGGTGGATCAGGCAGGCCATTACCAGGGCTATTGCAGATCAAGCAAGGACCATACGTATTCCTGTACATATGATTGAGACTATCAATAAGATTATTCGCACTTCAAGGCAAATGCTTAATGAGCTAGGGTACGAACCAACCGCAGCCGAAATTGCGGCACGCCTTTCTATGCCAGTGGATAAAGTTAGGAAGGTAATGAAGATAGCTAAAGAACCAATCAGCTTAGAAAACCCAGTAGGAGATGATGATGGAAGCTATCTAGGAGATTTTATTGAAGATAAAAACGCTGTATTACCCTTAGATGCTGCAATCCAATCAAACCTACGTGAAGTCACTACTAGGGTTTTAGCAAGCCTTACCCCTAGGGAAGAAAGAGTGTTAAGAATGAGGTTTGGGATAGGGATGTCGACTGATCATACCCTAGAAGAAGTGGGGCAGCAATTCAATGTTACGAGAGAACGAATCAGACAAATAGAATCTAAAGCTTTACGTAAGCTAAAACATCCTACTAGATCTAAAAAACTTCGTAGTTTCCAAGGAGGTTCTAAAAAACACAATAATTCCTCTGATTCTGCCTATGCAGGGTAAGGCTATAATTCAATTTTGATAAAAATTAACCTGATTGACTTAATTACTAATTATTTTATAACTAGTCATCTATTTTCTGTGAATATTTCTCTGTAATAAGTAGATTTATAGGCATTTTCGCTCACAGAACCGCAGCGCACTAAATGTACGTAAGGATTCGAGGACGAAAATAACGACGAAATCGACCATTAAAGAAAAATGTTCACAGAAACTAAGTTAATATACTAAAAATGATAAATATAAATTCCCACAGATATAAAATCACCATAGAATATTTAGGGACTGGATTTGCTGGTTGGCAAAGGCAAGCCAATATTACCTCAATTCAACAAATATTAGAAGAAAGTGTTTATAAATTTACCGGTGAAAACGTTATCCTACATGCTGCTGGCAGAACTGATGCAGGGGTACATGCGATAGGACAAGTAGCACATTTTGATTTAACAAAATTAATGCCTACTTATAAAGTTATGCAAGCAATTAATCATTTTGTGCGCACTCATAATATAGGAATTACTAAATGTGAGATAGTGGATGAGAACTTTCATGCAAGGTTCTCGGCTATAGCGCGGCATTATGTATATAGAATTATAAACAGAACTGGGCAAGTCATAATAGATTTTAACCGTTCCTGGTGGATAAAGCATCCTATAAATATATGCTCCATGAGAAAAAGTGCTACCTACCTTATAGGGCTCCATGATTTTAGTTCATTTAGGTCCAAAGATTGTCAAGCAAAATCACCAGTAAAAACTTTAACCAACCTAGTAATTACCCACGAAAATGACGAAATAAAATTATATTTTTCAGCTCCCTCATTTTTACATAACATGGTGCGAAATATTGTTGGCAGTTTAGTTTTAGTAGGACGTAATATATGGCAAGAAGAAGATATAAAAAGAGCACTAGACGCTAAAAAACGAGAAGCTGCGGGCATTAAAGCCCCCGCCTGCGGTCTGTATTTTCTTAAAGTGGATTATTAGCCAGCTGCGCTGTGTCTAGTGCTTCAAAAACCCCTTTCTCTCTCTTTAAACTTCGTTTGATTAATAACTATCGAGGTTGCGCTTGGTGCAGAATCCATAATAGGCCTAATATTATAACGTTTTAATTTTTTTACTTGTGCAGTAATATCAGCTAGGGCAATATTTGTTGAGATATACTTAAGTCGTGCTTGTTTATCTTGATCTTCTACTCTTGCCTTTTTAGCTATAGGATTTTTTGTAGAATCAAGCTTACGTTTTCGTTGAGGGGTAGCATTTTGAATATATAGTTTTTTTAATTCTTCGATCATCATATCTGTCACTTTCTCTTCTTCTTTTTTGCTATTATCAGAATATACTAAAGTATTATAGACGTTATTTCGATTATTTAACTTTATCATCGCTTTGTGTAGTAGTCTTACAATGTTAGGGTTTCCATTTGTAGGAGTAATATCTAATGGAGTATACAGCTCGTAAATGAAGAGTTGCCAGGGAGGAGGAAAGCAGCTAGAATAAAGTTATGAGGAATATATTAACAACTGAGCAGCGAGTAGCACTGAAATCACGTCATGGTAATGAGCGAGATAGAAGAGTGTGCGATCGAATCAAGGCAGTTTTGCTGTATGATAAAGGTTGGAGCTATGAAGAAATAGCGGAAGCATTATTATTAAGTGAAGAAGCGATTAGAAAACACTTAAGAGATTATCAAAGATTTAATAAATTAGAGACAGCTAACGGCGGTAGTACAAGTAAGCTAAGTGCTTTGGAAGAAAAAGAATTAATAGAACATTTAGAAGTATATAATTATGTTTATGCAAAAGATATCAGCAATTACATAGAAGAAAAATACGGTGTTAGCTATACAATAGCAGAAGTAACGAAGCTATTGAGCAGATTAGGTTTTGTATATAAAAAGCCCAAGGTTGTACCAGGCAAACTTGATATAGATAAGCAAGAATTATTTAAGTTAGAATATAGTTTGTTAAAAGGGAATCTTAAGTCTAAAGAAGCTATATATTTTATGGATAGCGTTCATCCTCAGTATCAAACAAAAGCCCGTTGTGGTTGGATAAGAAAGAATCAAGATAAAACGTTACCAACATTTAGTGGCTGGAAAAGGAAGCATTTAATAGGGGCGATTAATTTAGCTGATTTACAATTAGTTAGCACAGATAACCCTAAGGTAAACGGTGATTATATAATCAATTTTCTACACAAATTGGAGGCAGAAAACGCTAATAAAGAGAAGATATATTTGATTTGTGATAATGCTGGGTATCATAAGTCAAAGAAAGTAAAGGAGCACCTGGTAAATAGAAAAATAGAATTAATATTTTTACCTCCATACAGTCCTAATCTTAATCCTATTGAACGATTATGGAAGTTTATGCATAGGATGGTAACAAATAATAAATTTTATGATAATTTTGCGCAATTTTCAGAGGCGATAGATAGATTTTTTGGTAATATTGATAAGTACAAATATCAATTACGTACTCTCATTACTGACCAATTCCAAACCATTCTTCTTAACCATTTCGCCAACTCTTCAGGTTAATTGAGTATATACCCATGTTTATTTGGAACAGTTGGATCGGCCCCCTTCTCAAGCAGTAGCTTTACTGCAGCATATTTGTCCTTTGCAGTGGCAAGATATAGGGCATTGTCTGTAAAAAAATTATTTATATCCAAACCGTTATCTAGTAACTTATCTATAAAACTACTAAACAATCTAGGTGGTATATACTTTCCACTTTTACACAAGTGGAGTAAAATACCTTGTCCTAAGTTAGTAACTTTTTGGAGATTTATATTACTGACTTTTTCAGAGGCATCTGTAATATCTTCCTTCTTAAATATTTTTTTAAATCTTGCTATTTCTTGGACAAAAAACTCTTTAAAAAAATCTACTAGTTGGTCTTCTTGTTGTATTGACTTCATTATATCTATCATTACCTGGTCTTTAGGTATTCGTTTAGACTTAAATTGAAGCGTCTGTTCACCGGCTACCTTATTAAAGGTCATTGCTTCAAAATTTTCTTGAAAATCTAGAATAAATTGTTGATAAGGGGTTAATATATTTTGTTCTAAATAACGGCTTAATGAAGCTTGTAAAGCATGCTCTTCTAAAGAAATAGCTGTAACCTCTTTAGCCTCTACATGAGTTACTAAAATGGAACCATTGCCTAGAGCAGTTGTATCTTTATTAGCAGATCCCCCATAGCACGACCATAAGTGAACATATAAAGGATAGTTAGCTAGCTCTCTTAGCTTCTTAAAAAAATCCTCTGTATAACAGCAAGAATTAGCGTCTAAGCTATCAAGCTGCATTCTATGTTTATTTCCTACTCGTTCTCCATGAGCAAGAATATCAATACGGGTATTTGGACCAATTATAAAGTTATTTTCTTCTAATTTATTTTTAATATCTTCGAAAGTTAATGGTTTACTGGCTGTTCCATCACCAATTACAAGGCAATTCTCATTTTCTTTATACAATTTTCCAATTTCTGGAGCGATTTCATTGCTTGGCCCCACAATATAAAGAGCTTTTAATTCGTCTTGCAACATATTATAAACTCCAACAATCCCTCAAAATTTACCTAGTATCTTATAAGAATAATCACCGACTTGTTTGTAGTTAGTTAATTTTTATTAACCTTTATAAAAAAGATAACATAATTCTTATTATATTTATATAAATATTTAAAGGGGAGGTTACAGGTAATTAGTATAATTTGTTATAATTATGTGATATAAATTTAAAATCTATATAACAACTTTTTGCAAGGCTCAAGTATAGTTATAAACAAATGATCAATAACCAACTAGTACAAAATTATGCTTCTGCTTTGTTTGAAAATGCTTTAGCGGTTGCTTTAGAAGAGAAAATATTAATACAAATTAAGAGTATTGCAGGACTTATTCAAAGTAATCAAAAAATTAAAGATATTATATTTTCACCTATAGCAAAATACCAAGATAAGCTAGCTTTAATTGAATTAATTGCCAAAAATTTAAATATTGAGTTAATAGTTAAACAATTTCTGCTAATATTACTAAAACATTCACGTCTGACAATTTTACCAAATATCGTATTATTATATCAGGACTTACTTAATAAAAGCCGTAATATTAAAATAGTAAAAGTGATCTCTTCTAAGATGCTCCAGGACGAAGAGAAAAGATGGGTACAAAAATATTTAGAAGAGAATTTTTATCAAAAAGTTGCTATAAATTTTGAGCTGAATCCATCCATTATTGGGGGAATTATTCTACAATATGATAGCATAATTAAAGATTATTCTATTGCTGGGGTTTTAAAAAAAATAAATAAGACCTTAATAAATACTAAGCTTGAGTAAAATATAAATTTAGGTAAATAATCTGATGTCTACCAAACAATTAAAAACTGTTGAAATTGCCGAAATACTTAAACAAGAAATTGCTAATATTAGTTCTAATAGTGATTTAGAAGAAGTAGGACAAGTTATCACGGTTGAAGATGGTATTGCTAAAATATATGGTATTAATAAAGTTGAAGCCGGAGAAGTAGTGGAATTTGAGTCAGGAATTAAAGGCCTTGTCATTAGTCTTGAAACCAACTCGGTAAGTGTAATAATAATAGGCGAAGATTGGGAAGTCAAACAAGGAGACACTACCAAAAGAACTAAAAAAATCTTACAAGTACCTGTGGGCAAGGCATTACTGGGCAGAATAGTAGATGGAATAGCTAACCCTATTGACGGTAAGGGCCCGATTATCACAGATACTTATCGAAATGTAGAAGAAAAAGCTCCCGGAATAATTGCAAGGAAAAGTGTTAATCAACCAGTACAAACCGGCATTAAGGTAATCGATGCTTTAATACCTATCGGAAGGGGTCAAAGAGAACTAATTATTGGTGATAGGCAAATAGGTAAAACTGCTATTGCGATTGATACGATCATTAATCAAAAACAAGCACATCTTGAGGGAGACGAGCAAAACAAAATTTACTGTATTTATGTAGCTATAGGACAAAAAAGATCAACAGTAGCCGGGGTAGTAAAAAAATTAGAAGATGCAGGAGCAATGGAATATACCGTCGTGGTAGCAGCAACTGCTTCTGACCCAGTTGCGCTGCAATATATAGCACCTTATAGTGCTTGTAGTATTGGAGAATATTTTCGCGATAATGGGATGCATGCTTTAATTATTTATGATGATTTAAGCAAACATGCGGTTGCTTATAGGCAAATCTCCCTTTTACTTCGTAGATCTCCAGGACGCGAAGCCTATCCAGGGGATGTATTTTATTTACACTCTCGCTTATTAGAACGAGCTGCCAAATTATCGGATGAATTAGGTGGAGGATCTCTTACAGCTTTACCGATTATTGAGACACAAGCAGGAGACGTTTCAGCGTATATTCCAACTAATGTTATCTCAATAACAGATGGGCAAATTTTTCTAGAAAATGAACTTTTTTATCAAGGAATCAGACCTGCAGTAAATATTGGGCTATCAGTAAGTCGAGTAGGGTCAGCAGCACAAGTAAAATCTATGAAGCAGGTAGCAGGCACAGCTAAGCTAGACCTAGCACAATTTAGAGAATTAGCGGCCTTCTCCCAATTTAGTTCTGATTTAGATCCTGCCACTAGCAAGTTAATTAATCATGGAGCCAAACTAAACGAAATATTAAAGCAAAATCAATACCACCCTTTCCCCATAGAAGAACAAGTAGTTAGCCTTTACTCTGGGATTAAAGGCTACCTAGATAGTATACCTATTGATCGAGTAAAAGAATTTGAGGACAAATTATTGCAAGAACTAAAGCTTAGCAATAAAGATATTTTAATAAAAATTAAAGAACAAGGTAAACTTACTGAAGAAATAGAGCAAAAATTAAAAATTTTTTTAGAAGAATTTATAAAGAATTTTTTATCTACAAATTTTAAGGAGTTATGAGTAATTTAAAGCAGTTAAGGACCAGGATTAAAAGCATTAAGACGACCCAGAAGATTACCAAAGCAATGCAATTAGTGTCCGCTACTAAATTTACTAAGGCAAAAAACCAAGTTAAAAACTCTGAAGCTTATATTGAAACTCTTCATAAAATAATAGGTAATATAGCTACTGAAAATATACAAACACCACGACAAGAATATCTTCTTGGACATAATAATAATGTCTCTTGTTT